AATTAAGCCCCCCACCCCCCCGGAGTGGGGGAAATCCCTTTTTTGCCCCGGGGGGAGGGAGGGGTTCCCGGGGGGGGGGGGAGGGACGGGAGGGTTTTTGAACCCCCAAGTGGTGGTCCCCCCCCCCTTCCCAAGAAAACACCGGGGGTTTTTTTTTTTTTTTATTTTTTTTCAGGGGCCGGGTATGCATAGGTGGGGGGGCAGGAAAAAAACCCCCCATTTTTTTTTTTGGCGGGCCGGGGTTTTTAAGGTATACCCCAGGCCCGGCCCTTGCTCCCCGGAAATGTGGAGGGGGTGGGGCTTCCCCCCGTTTTTATTGGAGGTTTTTTTTTGGCCCACCCCCCCAAGGGTTTGGGTTTCCACTTCACCTTTTTTTCAGAAAGGGGGGGGGGGGGGGGGGGGAAGCAAGCGGCATCACACCAAAACAAGATAAAAAGCTGGGGTTGTCGGCGAAAAACAAAACGGCCGGCGCAACATTCACGTCTCTCGCAAGAAAGGTTGGACATGAAGGCTCTCCAGCATCGGAGACCAAACAAAACACGACGGCTGCTGACTCAGGCCCGGCGTGCATCCACACGCTAGCACACTTAGATTCTAAAACCGCAAGCTCCATCACCATACGTCGAGAGGCCGTCGAGAGCGGTAGTCGCGCAATTGAACCGTTCGTTGTAGGTGCAGGGAGCCCCACAACGACCACCGCTATGTAGTGCGCCAAAGCCCGCCGCGGCGGAGATATAATATTTATATTTCCTCTCGTCGGGCGGGCCCAGAAACAACAACCAACAGAAAAGTGGGGGCCCGGCCGCTCTGTGCGCAGAGCCCGTCACAAGCCCTCGCGGCCACGCAACGGCTCACCAGCGCGTAGAAGGCATATCTCCACCACGGCAGCGTGAGCTGCAGCGAGCCCTGAAACCAGCTGAACAGCATCGGGAAGAAAAAGAGCGCCATGATGAAGCTGTAGTTGACGAAATTGACAAACGAGGGGATCGAGATGCCTCTGTCGTCCAGGCTCGCCGCGCTGATCGACATCATGGCGATCAGCAGGCTCAGGATCTGCCCCAGGACCATGGTCCTGCATGACACGCCGAGTAGGTTTTCCTTCGAGCACACTCTGCTGGTGCTATCTCCGTGTCCCGGGCTGACTGGTGGGGCGGTATCGACATCTGAGGTCGGCGAGGTTGTAGCGGAGCCACCATCGTAGCAGCACCCGACACCGTTCTCAAGACGGAGGGACATGTTGTTCTCACGTTGCGCGACCATTCGCGTGCAGGCGGATGGATGGTGGTGGTGGGACGTCTTGGTCCGGGGGCTGTGAAGTGGTGTTGGTGTTGTGTTGCGTGCTCTGCTATGTAGCATTGAGATGGGGGGTTTCGAAATGAGAAGATGGCACTCTCAAATTTGGGCAATCAGTCTGCATCAATCAAATCAAATCAATCGATGAAATTTTAGTTGTACTACAGATGTGTGAGAGAGCGGTAACGATGTCGAACAGCAGCAGCGATATGACCGAATGCGCGTCAACCTCCTGTCTGTGCAGCGTGCATAGCATCCTATATTTTCCAGCGTAGTAGTGCTATGTAGATGGAGTTCCGTCCGTATGCAGCTGTGGCTACAGAGGGAGGGAGGAGACCACGCGTATCTTCCGCCATGAGACCTACATATGTATGATGGCAGCGGTGTATGATTTCAGAGTCAGAATTTAGAAGAAGTCGGAGAGAGAGATTTTTTCCGAAGACATGGCAGTGGTTGCTGCATACCATCACACAAAAAAGGCCCGCGGTTTGTCCCGTCGTCGTGTTGGTGCCTGGAAAGCATACGTCGCCGCTACTGCTGTCCTACCGTCCTACAACCTGTTCATCGATTACCTACTACTGCTGTGGTACCCTCTGAGCATGTATTTCAGCGGGCACGTTTATCATGAATCATGGTATAGTTACGATAATGATTTCAATGAGCGGCGGCAACAAGGCGGTTGAACAATTTCTTGCGTCCCAAAACCTCCCAGCGGCGTTTGCAAATGCAGCACGTAACTCGTCGTCAAACGAGTCATTCAGGCAGCTTTCAGGCAGCCCTCCGGACTCCGGTGTCATGCTGTACGCGAATCCGTACACATGACACCGGGAGTGCAACAATTGAAAGTGAAAGGTAGGAACTTCCAATGATTGATTGTTGAGCCACACACAAAGAGATGTTTGGCGAATGGACGACTTGACGACGTTGGGTGCCGACAATTTAGCTCTACTGGGTGGTGTGCTTCGCCCTGCCTGCGGTGCCCCTTTTGGATTGCGCTACAAGCGCAATGCGTGCAAACCTGGAGACGACCAGCTCGCCGCACAGGCACCAGGCAGAGCACTCCGCACAATGCTCGAGGAAAGAGCTGAAGGTGAGAGGCCGTGAGTTGGCGGAAACAATCTGCCTCTCGGATCATCACAATCAGCAGCACTGCTGCGGTACAAACAACGAAGAGCGTGGACCTGCGTGTCAATTGAACATATTTGGACTGGCAACGGCGGCTTGTCTGCTGCTGCTGTCTCTATTGTACTCCTTTAGCATTCCTCTGCTCCACGCAAAGATGCAAATCAGACTGCACCATCGCGGTTTGGTGGGCGATGAAAATTTCATAACTGCGTGATTGCTCCAACTCGACCGAGCCTAAACGATGTACTCTACAATGTATGCCATCCGGCGATGGTCAGCCCGTAACAGGGAGGAACCACGTCTTGCGGATAGATGCCGCTGCAGCGGTGTCTTCTGCAAGGCGTTAGCAGAATTGTTATATGCATATATGACCCCAATCCGGAGCTCGTCAGATAGGGAGCGACGACTACAGGTACTATGCATACAAGATGCGTCCACATATATATAGATGGAGTCGCTCTTCTTGACTGCACAATATTGATGACATCACTGCTGTCCACAGCTATTCCATGTCACGCACAAAGTACAATTTCTGTTCTTTTTACATAACAAGATATGTACTCCCCAAACCCAAAAACAAGTAATTAAATCAAACACCCCCATATATTTTGTGTATAAATTATACTCACAGGATGTTGCACCACATTAGACTTGATTCTAGGTGGACCCACGTGGATGCGATTTTTTTTTAATAAGCTTCGACACATCATTGATTGACATCAATACCTCGTAGCTTGTACGAGCCTTGGAGAGATTAAATCCGTACAGCAGTGTTGATTCCAACACGTGTGTATTCCACACGGCACTGTCAGGTGTCTTGGGATAGTGAGGGAGAGATTTAATTTTCGAAAAGCTGTATCTGAATCCAATGATACATCCATATGTACCTGCTTCACTACAATTAACATGCAACATGCATGTGCGCCAAAACCCAACTTCAACAAGCTGAGCTTTCGGCGAAGAAAAAGGGGGGCTATGTGGAGGTCAGGATATGGAGATTCAGGGAGCACAGATACACGTACATAAAGAGTACGATCTGAAGGAATATGTAATACAATAGATTGACGTTCCCCGAGGGTCCACGACTCTTGCGATTCCCAACGGTTGCGAAGAGTTGATGAATCTTCAGGAGAACGGGAAAATGGGTCCACGAAGGCTCGCCCACTCTCCGCACCACCCTAGCTTGACTGAGTTCGCTCGGTCACGCTTGGCATTCCTCGCCACACTGCACCAAAGGAAATAGCCAACCTCCGGTGGCAGGACATAAGACAGCGGCTTCACCTCCCGCTAGGTTGGTGAAGCCACCCGTCGTGAAAAGGAAGTGTCGATGAGTGTTTTCCTGTGTCTCTGCACGATACTCATCGACACTCTCTGATCACGACTGAATTATTGGAAAATAAACGTCACCTCGTAGTGTCCTCTATACCACTTGTTGTGAGGGTGGGTGGGTGGTGCTTTAAACGTACTCTCTTCCTCCTGTTTGCCGTGTCGGCACTTGGTTGCCCAAAGAAGTGGGGATGAGAGGCACCCCTTCGATACGTGTGCTTTCGTGTGCGAACGTTCCTGGAAAATGTTTGGAACATTTCCCGGACCGGTCTTCATAATACAGCAGTATCTCTGTGACCGTTTATTCTTCCCCTATAGTGTGGGATAAGACAGCGGCTTCACCTCCCGCGGCTGGTGAAGTCACCCTTTCCAAAACTAAGTCCACCTCCTTCAAATGCCAAGTTGAAGGTGTTCAATGTTTATCCCATACTATAATATATATACAAAGAGATTCTCCGGCTAGAGCCCTCGAAATGGCTCCCCCTGCCCTCAACGAATGCATCGAAAACTCCTGCTCCAAACCGACGCCTCTCGCCTAATTCTTCAACATTGCTGCCATAGCCACCACACTCCCGGACTCTTCCGCTCACCCAGAGTAGAGGGTTCCATAATAGGCGTGTACTTGAGCACTTGTGCAGCCAAGAACATTGATTGACGGCGCCCGAGCCAGAAATGTCGGCGTTGAAACGCTGGAACCGTCTCGTCGAAACCTTTCAGAAAACGTATCATTCGATTTTGGCACCCTCTTCGACGTGGATTGGTCGAGCATTAGTAGGCGATCCAAGGTGTGGTATCCTACGCAATATGCGGTGCAATTCTGCTGTAATATACTGCTGCATCCCGGGGTTACGCGCTGGAAAGGGGTCGTCGGACACACAGACTAAATAGTGCTGTCGGCATGATATTACCCCGAGGTAATTAAATTAAGGTCTACAGTACCAGATGTGAAGGACAACAAGAAGTTTGCCTTGGTGGCTCTATGTAGTAGACAGTAGAAGTAGCATACAAGCCAGTCACATGTTTCTTTTGTCTTCTTAATGTGACACAATGAATCCATCCATGGATATGTTCATAGATTGAATGTCCAGGATAAATTAACATTGAATCCATAGTGTTAACGGAGGCACTCCCTGTGTTTTTTTGCTTTTTTGGGACAGACCACCGAAGCGCAACATGGGGGCGGCGGGTACATACGTATATACATACCGCCTTTATCACGTCGAGCGACTATGTTGGCCAAAATGGTACTCTATTCCGCTGTCACAAGACTCAGATTCCAACACCGATGTCTCAACATATCTCCTGCTATTTTTTTTTTTGAGTGGCACTGCTGTAGCTCAAAGCGCACGGTCGTACAGCAGTATCGCACGTACTACGACTTATCTCCTCCGATATACATCCCTACTTCTGTTTTTATCCCCCTAGAGTTGCGCCAGACGGAAACCCCACTACAGGCATTGCCTGACAAGAGGAAAGCTTCCTCGACCCCACCAACAGCAGCGGCTGAGCCCGCGGCGGCGGCAGCAGCAGCAGCAGCAGCAGCAGCTTCGAGGGCGGCGGCTGCCAACAGCAGCGAGGGAGTGGACGTTGTTGATATTGAGACCTCCGTACCTGGTGAGATGGGGACAAGAGAAATTGCAGATAACAATGCGTTCGTATGTGCTAGCTGGTTGTTGTCTGTAGATTTCATACAGTGGGGCTCCTTCAATATATTGTGCCGGTTGAATAGGTCCACTGCCCGGGATAGTGCCTGTGAATCTGGCGGGCAGCTTCCGGCACTACGGGGCCCCCCACTGCCGTATGTACTACATAAGGATAGTGGGAGTATTGGAGAAGGAACGTAGCATTAGTGAGGGCCAGGCAGGTTTCCGACAGAAGAGGGGGTGCGTAGACCACGCATTCACGGTAGGGAGAATCATCCAAGGTAGAAGGAGGGCGGGAAAGCCGACGTACTGCTTCTTCCTGGACGTGAAAAAGGCATACGATACCGTATGGAGAAATGGGCTGTGGAAACAATTGTCCAAGTACGGGATCAAGGGGAACATGTGGAGAGTGCTGAAGAAGATGACAGAGTGTACGAAAAGCGCGGTCATGCTAGACGGAGAACTGTCCAAGTTCTTCGACATTGAGCAGGGGGTCCCACAAGGTTGCACGCTGTCCCCAACATTGTTCCAGGTGTTCATCAACGATCTGTTGGAAGTCGTAGAGGCAGTCCGGAAGGGAGTAAAAGTAGGGGACACGGAAACTTCGGTGTCAGGAATGCTGTTTGCGGATGATTTTGTTGGTATGTCGGACACCCCTGAGGGACTGCAACTACAAATTGACGCGGCGAAGAAGTTTACTGATAAGCGGAGATTGTCTGCCAACGTTAAGAAGAGTGCCGTCATGGTATGCAACGAGGACAGGGAGGAACCAGTAGAACATAGATGGAAGTGGGGGGTCGAGGAGATTGCAGTAGTGGACCAGTACACATACCTCGGAGTAGAGATCGCAAACGACTGCTCGTGGAATGCACACATGTCCAAGGTAGCGGAAAAGAGCAAAGCACGAGCAGGGAAGCTGCACCCAATACTCGCAAACCGGCACCTCGATACACGCATCAAATTGGCGGTTTTGAAGAGCGTAATCGTACCGCCGCTAGAGTACGCCGGAGAAGTATGGGAAGGAAATAAGAAGGTAGTGAAAGAACTCGAGGCGGCGCAGATGAAAGCAGCGAAAATCATCCTAGGATGCTCCAAGCGCGCAAGTAATGCAGCCGTAAGGGCAGAGTTGGGGATCCAATCCCTACGGCCGGGAAGAGACGCAAGGAAGCTGACATGGCAGTATCGCATGTGCGGGATGGGAAAGGAGAGGTTGCCGAGAATAGTATGGGAGGCGAAGTGGGCAAACAAAACGAGGGGTAGACAACCCACGGAATGGGTCAAGGTTGTAGAGGACGTATGGAAGGGGTTAGACATCGACGAAGATGAAACGCTGGAAACGGAGGGTCTACAGGGGTTCAAGGAGAAGATATCTATTGCTTGTGCCGAGAGAGAAGAACGGAATCTAAAGAAAGAAACCAAGGATAAGGAGGGTCTAGAAGTGTACGGAATGTTGAAAGAAGGAATAGGGTTCAAGGACTACCTACATGGACCAATGGATGCAGGGACAAAGCTTAAGGTCAAATTCAGGACCGGGGACATAGGCCTTCGAGAACGTCGACGAAGACATAGGACGGTAGACGACGAAGACGACAAGTTCAAATGTGATTGCGGCTTCGAGTGCGAAGACCGTGTTCATGTAGTCGCGGAATGTCCGTGGTACGAAGAGGAGAGGGAAGTGTACATGACCGAGCTGGGAAAAATACAAGCGACGTACAGGGAGATGTTTGAGGCATGGAATAGAGAGGAGAGGACGGTAGCTGTACTGGGGAGTAGGAAGTGGTTTGAGAAGGCGGGAAGGGATATCGTTAGGATAGACAGACTCGGGAAGACATTTTTGAGCCACCTTTGGCAAAGTAGGAAGGAACGATTGGCCATCGGTGATCGGTCCTGTGGGAACAATGCTCCGTCCTCTCGAGGACGCGTGGTCAATGGTCTAACCGCTAAGACATGCAAAACAA